TGAGATTAAATTTCTCAGTAAGAAATATTTTCTGTTCATCCTGGCTGAACTAGAGTTATGAGAAAACAGTAACAAACATTTGTGTAAAAAATTAATGGAAACTATATGAGATACATTTGTGCTTTGAACACAATATCTATTAATGCACTTATGTCAATTAATTAGAAAAAGAGTCTCTGTATGAGGTGTATGGTAACATTATTTCCCAAATTTTCGGCAGGACTGAATACTTCCAGCTATATCACATCTCCATCAAAGTTATACAAGAATATTTACTGCATTAGATGAAATAAACCTGTTTGCAGCCTGTAGGTCTGCTCAAAGCTTTGAAACTGTTTCAGTTCGAGTGTGCATCAGTTGAATATTCCTAATGAATCAGATTTCTGAGCTGAAGCAGAGGCCTCTGTTGTAGCGCGGGAATAACGAGAGGCACAAGCAGGCTAGTGACAACAGCTCTTTAATTCAGAGTGAGACTTCAGCAAAGCAACACAGGCAACAGCCCTCTTTATATACTTTTCAGGAGCAACCATTAACCAATCACAATTCACAGGGCATTTGAATTTCCCGCACAAAATAGATACATACATAACACCCCTCCACTCCCAGAAGGCACTTATCCTATCTATTTACATATTTACATACAAAATCACGCCGGTGACCAGGGCGTGTCTTTACTCTGGTTGACCTGCGCACTTCAGTTGCTGGAGAGGCGTTGAGCCGGTCAGAGGGACCTCCCGTCTCTCCTGGATCTGCCAATGGAACCTCCTGGATTTCTCCAGAGGCGTGGTTATCCCCGGCTGGGAGTGTCGACTCGCTGGGGTGGCGCTGGAACTCTGGCTTGCCTGATAAGTATTCCGGCTTACTCGGGCTTGAGATAGTTGCCTAGTGTCTCCTCAAAAATGTCCCGAAATTTGTGAAGGAGGTTTTCTTTGAGTGATGGCCCGCCGATGCTGTGGACACCCGTGAAGCCCATGCCGAGGGCTTGGAAACAAGCCATGCCCAGGAGACTTGGTAGCGGCTTGCTGATGATGGTCAGGGGAAGCTCTTTCTGGAACTCGCCGTAGGTGACCTGGAACGTGCCCACGCCTTCCACAGGAACTCGGTTTCCTTGGTAGTCGAGGAGGCGAACTCTTTGTCGTGACAGCTGGGTTTTCTGGATCTTTGGCAGGAGCGCTTTGAGTGTAGTCCAGGACACGATGGACAGGGTAGACCCGGTGTCGATTTCCATTTCGCATTGAAGCGGGATTTACTAATCCCAAATTAATCAGGAGACAAGACCACAGAGATCCAGAGAAAACAGGCTTTTATTGAATATTGCTAGCAATAGGCCCAGTGCAGTAACCTGACAAATACTGAGCCCCGAGCAACGCCCTGAGGCAGGTTTTATAGGTTTCATGTTCATAGCATGGTTTCAGTTCCTCTTAGGATAATACAGTATACATACATACAGATGGGTAAGATGGAAAAATACAAATACAGAAGTATATAATGGAAAAGTATAAAAGCAGAAGTCTGTGAGTATACAATCCTATAGGGTTTACACAATACTATCTTGGAACATCTTGTGGTTACAATTGTTACAACATTATAGTTACAACAGATTGCTACTGAGAGTACAGATTTAGGATAAAGGGTGATACGTTATAAATGATATAAAAGCAAGGCCTTTGTGATGCATACTGTTAGGATATACCATATGAGGGGCTCTCCTTCATTCCCCCCTGTTGAGACTTTGCCAAGTGCTGCAGTCACTGCAAAGTTTCATATTCGGGGTCACCTTCCGTGGAGTTACCCCCCTGTAGGTCTGCAAGTTTCTGGTATTCCCACCAGGCCATTGCCTGGGCTGTGGCCTTTTTGTCCACTAATAAAGACAAGGTGCTGGTAATGGTGCGGATAAAGATTGGAAGCACACAAGGCAAGATGACACAACCAGCAGCAATGAGACCGATGAGAGCGACAATAGCCTGTAGACCAGGTAGTTTTGGAAACCATCCCGAGAAAGCATCAGCCAGATTAAGGCCTCTCCATGTCTGTACAGGGACATGTGCAATCTTGACCATCTTATCGGTGATTTCCTTAATAACATGGCCACTATCGTCAATCTCAATGCAGCAGTTAGTAAGGTTGAACTTACCACACACACCTCTTTTGCAAGTAAATAGTCCAAGGCAAGTCGGTTCTGCATAATATAAGTTCTAGATTTCACACTTTCCTTAGCCAGTTTAGTGAGGCCCTTAACTGTTTCATTAGTAATGATCTCAACCACCGCCTGCAAGCGAATGAGGCGATTGAGGAGATAGATCGGGGTGCGGTATCCCCACATGCCATCCTCAGCCCACGTGGCTGGGCCGTAATATTGAATTATCCTTTCGGCAGGCCATTCCTCTTCCTGGAAAGTGTGTGATCCGCCCACTTTAACCTTTTCAATTGCAGATGTGTCTACATGGCGGCGGGTCCTAATGAGATTCCCAATCTCATCATAGACCGGTACCCCTAAAATCTGTCTATTTCTCAGGGGTAACAAGAAGAAGCCTGGGCGGATGATACCTAGAACACAGGAGCCACACCAGCCCGCAGGAAGTTCAGCATAGGCAAAGGCACCGCATAGCCAATACATACCATCTGGAGCCAACCAAGGCACAGCTTTATTCATTGGATCCAAAATATACCTTTGCAGAAGCTGCACTCGTTCCAGAGCAGTGTCATCAGTGGAGTACGTCCTGTTAGTACCAGACCACCAGGTACGATTGTTCCAGGCAGAGCGGCAGCGAAGAGAACCAACATAAAAGCAGCCGTTGGAACGGTTTCTAGTGTAGCAGACAGAACCTACCAGGTTAGAAGTTAAAGCCCAGGTGCCATCCTTTCCTGGGGTGGCAGTGAGATTATTACGATGTTCCATATCCAGGACAGTGGAGTAATTAAGTTCCTGGGCCTCCCATGGCCATTTGTCACCCATGTTTGTACCTCCACAGACAAAACAATTAGAAACGTTAAGGGTATGAGCAATGTCCTCTGCTAATCGGACAAAGGTATTATGTACCTGGGCAGGGAAATCAGGAATGTTAAGCTTAGCAATTTCTTCGTAGAATGACCAAAAGAGGTGTTTGGTGTCCCCTCGGGATCGTGCTCGTTTGGTAAATTTAAGTCTTATCTTTGCTCCTGGATCCCGACCTCTGCCATCGATTTGAAAACCATAATCGGCAAAGGCTCCATCGCCATTCATGGACCAGAGCGAATGATGGAAAGTTAGGACAACGGGATTACATTTACCCAGCGGACAATTACTTGCAGCTACTCCGTTCCGAAGGGAGATAGCCTGGGTGCTATCCGTATTGGAGACACAACTCTTATAGGGACACCAGTTGTAAGTATCAGCGATGTGACAATCAGGTTTAGATCTAGTCCTGAGACACATATACTTATTGTTAAACATATACTCTCTTTCCCAGTCCAGTCCTCCGCATCGGGTTTGATAATAGCCTCCTCTATTAATAAGGTTACAAGCGTCAAAGGATAGAGTCAGGGATTGTTGTCTGTAGGGAGTGGAATTTGAAGTGACCAATTCCAAGCCGGAACCACCCATGTGATAAAGGTAGACCCCATGTTCAGTCCACTTGGTAATCTGTGAGGGGTCATAACATTGAACTACCGCCTTCTTATCCCTGCATCTCCTATAGGCTGTGTTATTCAGAGTGCAGGTTGGTAATTCGGTCAGACAATCATCCGGTTTAGCAGTGTGATAGATTAATGTATTGCTAATAACCTGATCCGACCGGGTAGTGACTATGCATTCAGCACACGAGGATGGTATCGGTGCCTTTAGTGGTTGCTTAGGTTTGGGTGCTGGCTGCCGAGAGGGAAAGGGACCTGTACGATAGCAGCGTAGGAGGTTGTTAGCAACACAAACCTTATACTGGACAGAGTCCCGTGTACAGGTCCGTCCTTCACTGCACATTGAGGCGTTCGGTGGGGAGTAAAGGAAAGTGGAGCCTTGTACACAAGGGGCGCAGCCAGTCAGGTTCCCCTCCTGTAAGTAGCAGTATATCCCTTGGGTCCCATTGCACCGGTTATACAGTTTTTCTTGAACCTTACAGGTGGTTAAATCGAATTGAATGCATGAGGCTGGTTTTCCATACACCTGTTTGTTTGTCGGACAACCACAAGGGCTCTGCCCGAGCGCGTAGTCTTTCTTTACCTCACGAGTGGTCCTGTGCTTGCGCGAGGGACCGTGATGGCCAGAGCCAAAGAGGCGTATGAGATGGCATTTTTGTAAAGGGTCATCGTTGCAGCGTAAGAATGAGTAATTCTTATATTTACATGGGGGTAGATACCCAGAAGAACAATTAGGTGCTGCAAGAAGTGTGAAGGCAAAGCGCCGGCCGACTGGTAGGGACAGGAAACAGTCAGTACATATGGACGGTGTTACAGCTGTAGCCAGGAAACGAGGTTTCTGACTAGGGCTGACCTCAGGTTCGAATCCCACAGGGTCGTAAAACAGAACTGGAGCCAATGTAGGTGACATGTTTCCTCCCAACCATGTCCAAATGTCATCATCCGTGGGGAAGCGCTTGCCCTCATCTAGAGGCGAAAGGGGACCCTCCAAATCCAAGCTCCCCTTCCCCCCTGTTCCCAGCAGAACGCGATAAAGGTATAGGGAATTAATAATAATACTGGCTAGCAAAAGAACAATAACAACCCAAATGGAAGGCAAAAGTCCCCGGCGGAGACAAGCCGTCTCACGGATACGCTGAGCCGGATCCATCTAAGACCAATGATAGGAACAGGTAGGCTCTGGAAGACTCAGGGCTGTGAGAACCGTGGGAGTTGCCGTTAGGGTAGAGACCCGTTGGCCAGAGGAATTGGAATAGAAGAATCCCTCAAGGACTTGTTCGATAACAACAATGTCACAAGGAAGGGTACAGTCAATACATAAAACACAATCAATACAATGGGAACAGCAGCAGGAATCACAGGGGCAGGGGCAAAACCAGCACATGAAATCAAGGAGATGCTGTGGGGACTTGCCTCCCAGAGCGCAGGGTGAAGCGAGGAGCGTTGCCCGTGCGATGGGTATTAGCCTCCGGAGTAATACCTGCAGGGGATTCCTCTTCGGCGCCCGTTCGTAGAGGGACAGCTTCCGGAGTGTCACCAGAAGGGGCAGCCACAGGTACAGTGCGCCGTCGGCGAAGGGTGAGCCGCAAAGGCTGCTCAGGATGGCAATCCACCCGCCAATCGGAGGAGGCAGCAACCTTGACTCGAGACCAATGGATCCAAGGCTTAATTTCAGCAACTTTAATAGCAAGCGGAGAAGTCATAACTACAGAGAAAGGTCCTCTCCATTTGGGACAAAGAGGTTCCCGTTTCCATTCCTTAACCCACACTTCCTGACCAGGGGAGATGTTGTGAGTGGGGGTTACAAACAGGTGCGGGCGGGAGGACAAAACATAATCCTGTAACTTGTGAACCATTCGATTAAGTGATTGAAGTTGTTGGAGCTTAATAGTGTCTCCCAATTGGGTCTCGGAAGACAGAGAGGGACGAACTAAGTTGGGAACCCTCCCATAAAGCAATTCAAAAGGGGAAACAAGCAAATCTTTGCGAGGAGCGCAGCGCACAGCGAGCAGAGCCATAGGCAAGGCATCCGGCCACTTGAGGTGCGTTTCCTGACAAATTTTTGCCAGTTTGTCCTTAATCGATCTATTAACCCGTTCCACAAAAGAACCACTGCTGGCGTGAAAAGCACAATGAAGGCGCCAGTGGATACCCAACATAGTGGAAATTTTGTGCGTTGCCTTATGAATGAACTCCGGGCCATTATCTGAAGAGATCTTAGAGGGCAGGCCGTAACGAGGAATGATAAGCTGCAAGAGGGCCTTCGTGACCTCCGAGGCCCGCTTGGTGCGAGTGGGGATACACTCAGGCCAACCCGAATAGGTACAGATAATGACAAGCAGGGCAGTGTATGAACCAGAGCGGGGCAAATCGGTGAAATCAATCATAAGTGAGTCAAAAGGAAAATCTCCTCTAGGCTGATGTCCTTGCGGGGGCTGGGGTCCCGTTCTAGGGTTGTTAGCTGCACAAGTGTGGCACCTGGAGCAGACGTTGGCTGCAATGCTATGGACCTTGTTGATATAGAGTTCTCGCAACAAGGCATGTGCCAGAGCAGTCTTGCCCAGGTGCAAGTGCGCATGGACTTGATTAACGACATCCCAGGCCAGGTGGCCCGGGAGGAAAACACGAGAATCGGGCAAGACCCACCAACCCCCCTGTAGGGAAGCATCGAGTTCACGGGCTTGGGCAAGTTCAGATGCACTATAATGAGGCTGCATAGATTCTGGGGGATCCCATAAGGCGAGGCAGTGCAGCTGCGGGTTGAAAGGTCGCAACGCTGCATGACGAGCCTCCTGGTCAGCCTTATGGTTACCCAGTTGTGTGTCCGAGGGAGATTTCTGATGGCCCCTACAGTGCATGACAGCCACCTTACGAGGGGCCCAAACACTGTCCAGCAGGCGGAGGATTTGTGGACCATACTTGATGTCCTTTCCTCCTGCTGTAATAAGTCCCCTCTCTTTATACAATGCCCCGTGGACTTGAACAGTTAAAAAAGCATATTTAGAATCTGTGTAAATGTTAACATCCAGATTTTTAGAAAGTTCAAGGGCTCTAGTTAAAGCATGGAGCTCCGCCAACTGTGCACTAGTACCAGGAGGGAGGGGTTCGGCTTCCCATATATCCGTAAGGGTAACAACAGCATATCCAGCCTTGCGAACCCCATCCAGAAGGAAACTAGTGCCGTCAGTGTACAGTACATGGGCAGGACGGGGAAGTGGGACATCTGACATATCAGGGCGGCTGGCATATGTTTCCCCAATAGTCTGAATACAATCATGGGCTGCATCAAGATCAGGTTCAGGAAGGAGAGTTGCCGGATTCAAGGAAGTAGATTGCTTTAAAACAATCATAGGGTTGTGAGTGATAAGGCCTTGGTATTTAAGCATACGGGGATTGGTTAACCACAAATGGCCTTTTGTTTCCAAGACAGCCTTCAAGGCGTGAGGGGTTTGTATTTCAAGTTCCTGGCCAAAGGTGAGCTTGGACGACTCTTGTGTAAGAAGGGCCGTGCCAGCAACAGCCTTGAGACAGGCTGGCCAACCCCTCGCTACAGGATCCAGCTGCTTGGAAAGATAGGCGACAGGGCGATGCCAGGTTCCCAACCTTTGGGTGAGAACCCCGACAGCAACATTGTGCTTAGTATCCACAAATAACTGAAAAGGTTTGTCTAAGTCTGGCAAGCCCAAACTGGGGGCTTGCATTAGAGCATGTTTTAAACTTGAGAAACTTTTCTGTTCCTCTTTTCGCCAGAGGAGTGGCTCCCGGTCACTACCTCTGGTTGCCTCATATAGGGGTTTTGCAAGGAGGCTAAAGTTAGGAATCCAAATACGGCAAAACCCAGCAGCCCCCAGAAACCCCCGGAGATCCCTTTTGGTCCGTGGGGTGGGGAGGCGGCAAATAGCTTCCTTTCTTTCATGACCCAAGGTGCGTTTTCCAGGCTCAATATCATAGCCCAAGTATCTAACTTTTTGCAAGACCAATTGTGCCTTTTTTCGAGAAGCCTTATAGCCCAGTCGCTGTAGGAGGTGTAGGAGATCATAAGTGTTTTGCCAGCATATGTCCTTTGTCTGGCCAGTGACCAGCAGGTCATCAACATACTGCAACAAGACCTCCGGCATGGGGAGGTTCAAAGCTTCCAAATCAGCTGCGAGGGCATTCCCAAACAGAGTGGGGGAGTTCTTAAAACCTTGAGGCAACCTGGTCCAAGTATACTGCTGTTTACGACCAGTAGCCGGATTTTCCCACTCAAAAGCAAAGAGATGTTGACTCTTTTTATGGACTGGGATGGTAAAGAATGCATCCTTAAGGTCAATGACCGAAAACCATGACGCAGTCTGGGGAATCAAGCCCAGAATAACGTACGGATTTGGGACCAAAGGATGAATGGTTACTGTAGCGGCATTTACTGGCTTTAAATTTTGGACCGGACGGAAACGACCGTCCCCTTTTGGAATAGGCAAAATTGGGGTGTTCCATGCCGATTCAGTAGGGACCAAAATGTTATGTGCCAGATAGAGATCAATGACTTCCTGAATAGCTTGCATAATGTGCCTAGGGTAGGCCCGTTGACGAAGGCGAATTGGATGTTTGGCAGGGAGCTCCTCGACAATGATGGGTGTCTGATGGCTAGCAAATCCAGGGGGGTTGTCCTCAGCCCACAGGGAAGGGACATTAAAATCCTCCCAACCGGAGTTTGCTACAATTTCATGTAAAGCCATTAAGCGTCATGCTTCCTCCTGGGGAACATCCACCGAGACCTTGCCATATGTCAGAGAAGTAGAACTGTCCGGCTCGAAAGAAATCTGAGCCCGTAATTTGCTCAACAAGTCTCGCCCCATAAGAGGAAGAGGGCACTCAGGCATGTAAACAAATTGATGAGTTATCGTTTTACCCCCCGTGTGACAAATTAGGGGGTTGAGGAATGGGCGTTTGATTGGCTGGCCTGTTGCCCCCTGGACCGTGATGGTATGCGAGGAGGGCTGGGCCAAGGGTTTGGTTATGACGGATCGGGTTGCCCCTGTGTCGACAAGGAAGGAAATGGGCTTGCCTCCAATATTGAGACTGACCATAGGTTCAGGGAGGCGGGCCGAACCCGGTCCATTTCACTCCCACTCCTCGACTTCGGCCAGACCAATGAGGGGGGTATTGGACGCCCCTCGTCCCCTCCCTCGAAAGGGTCTGCCGCGTCCACCTCGGCCCTCTCGGGCATAGCCTCCCCGATTTTCCTCCTTGGTACGTTCCAATTCCTTATCAGGGCATTCTCCCCTCCAGTGGCCGAATCGCTTACATATGGCACACCGATTTGGGTCCAGGGGTCTCCCTGACCCCCGACTCCGGTTCCGCCCCAGGGGTCCCCCTGACCCCTGGCCCCTTGGGCCGCCCCAGGGGTCCCCCTGACCCCTCAAGCCTCTACCCAGTCGTGGCCCATCTCGGGTGGCAGGGCCGCTCATCAAAGCTGCAGCAAGCAATTCTGCCTTTTTATGCATTTTTTGCTCCTGCTTCTGTTCCTCAATTTTATCCCTGTTCGCAAAAACCTTCCTTGCCACTTCCATCAGTTCACTCATTGATTTCCCAAGAGCTCCCTCCAATTTCTGCAATTTTCGCCGTATGTCAGGGGCAGATTGAGAAATGAAGGCCATTGCCAACATGCGAGCATTTTCAGGCTGAGTTGGGTCTATGGGGGTGTACATTCGGTAAGCATCTAAGAGGCGGGCATAGAAGGCTTCTGGGGCTTCACTAGCACCTTGGATCACCAAAGAAGGTTTAGACATGTTGGTGGTGGGTTTCCCCGCCACCTGGATTGCCTGCACCACAAGGCGCTGGTAATCCTGAAGGGACCTAAGATCCTCGATCTTATAAGGGTCCCATCTTGGATCTTCAGAGGGAAAATTTCTAGCCACCCAGCGTTCAATGGTCATATCCCGGGCTGGCATAGTTCCTTTTAAGATTTTAAGGGCGGCATTCCTAATCTTTTCCCTCTCTTCCGGATTGAAGATGGTACTCATCAACTGTTGTAGATCCCTCCAAGTTGGATTGTGGGTATCTACAATAGTTTTAATCAAATCAGTAACCTCTGCTGGTTTGTTACAAAACGGACCATAATGCATTTTCCAGTTCAAAAGGTCCGAGGAGGTAAATGGGACGTGTTGAAACACAGAGACAATTACGGGCTCCCTGTTCGGTTCAACGACGGACTGATCTACCCTCCTGAGAGGGCTCAGAAGAGCCGGTCCGTCTTCCGATGAGTCCGCTTCCTCACTCTGCCTGGTATCCTTTGAGCGAGTTCGATCAGCTATGGGGCCTTCCTGTTTCCCAAGGGGCGACTTTTGTCCCCCCACTGCTCCTTCTAATTCATCAGAGGAGGGGGTGATCTGTTCGCTTTTCTGGGTTTGTCGCTCCTTCGGGCGGGCCCCCTTGTCCGATCCATCCAAACTGGTTTGGGCGGAGCGGTCAATAGGGGTAGGTACCCCTGGTGAATCGGGGATACCCAAGTCGTCCATGGCTCTCAGGAAGGTGTCGGCTCCTTCTCCTGTACTGCCAGAAAGTGAGGTGCTTGCCCTCTGGCTAATGTCACCCTCCCCCCGAGGGAGATATGGTGGTGGATTGGGCAGTTCCTCTGGGCAGCTAGGAAGGATGGTGGGGATCGTTTTTTCCTTTTTATATGGCAGGGTGCGGGAAACCAATAATCTACACCTTGCAGCTTTGCACTTTTGTAGCCAAATGGGGGGATGTTGTACTAATGTAAGCCAGACATCGATATATGGAGCTTGGTCCGGATGTCCAGTGGTGGGGTGGAAGACCCTCTGGTGTACTTGCAGTACTATCCCTAGGTCCAGCGACCCTGCTGCTGGCCAGCCTACTCTGAGTTCTGGCCAGTCTACTTCACAGAACGTCCTCAACCTCTGCCTACTCCATCTTATGCCGTAATCTTGACTAATGTAGGCATCTTTGAAATGTTTTAACATACATGCCAAGGGGGTCAAAGGCGTACTTCCTCCTCCACCCATTTTCCTCCCAGGGCACCAGACAAGACAAGTAGGTAAAGGGGTTGGGAAGAAGGTAAGGGGTCCTTCTTTCCCAGGAAAACACGAAGGATTCTCAATCACTCTTCCCCGGCCGCCAGCCCCGGACACTCAACGGTCACTGGACGGAATCGCGGGGTACACTCACACCAGTCGTGCACGACAAACCTCCCACCTTGGGGTCCCTCCGACCCTGGGGTCCCCCTGACCCCTCGTACCTTCAGGGAAAGGGTGATCAGGCACTTCCCCCCCCACTCCTCCACCCGTCCAGTGGCCAGTTACATATGCTCCCTCCCCCTGAGGGAGCTTGGCCCTAGACCGGCTAGTGGTTATTCCCCTGGGTGACTCTTACCTTCCCAGCAACCCCCCGTTGTCTGGATATACAGGCTGGTCCCTAGCCCAGGGGTTCAGGTACTTGCCTGCCGGCGTCCTTTTCTTCTTCCTCCAGCTGGATTGAAACGTGCCTGGTCTCGTGGTCTCTCTCTTAAGCGGTTCTTGGAAGCGTCAACCGATGCTGCGACGGGCCGGCCCCACGGGGAAGCCCCTCGGACTAAAAGAGTCCGATGGCGCCTGGGCTTTCCCCGATCCTCCGAGTCCCTCACAGCGTGGCGACGATCCAGAGGAATCTAAAAATTCCGTTGCCTCCTGGCTGGCTCGCCAGAAATGAAGCGGGATTTACTAATCCCAAATTAATCAGGAGACAAGACCACAGAGATCCAGAGAAAACAGGCTTTTATTGAATATTGCTAGCAATAGGCCCAGTGCAGTAACCTGACAAATACTGAGCCCCGAGCAACGCCCTGAGGCAGGTTTTATAGGTTTCATGTTCATAGCATGGTTTCAGTTCCTCTTAGGATAATACAGTATACATACATACAGATGGGTAAGATGGAAAAATACAAATACAGAAGTATATAATGGAAAAGTATAAAAGCAGAAGTCTGTGAGTATAAAATCCTATAGGGTTTACACAATACTATCTTGGAACATCTTGTGGTTACAATTGTTACAACATTATAGTTACAACAGATTGCTACTGAGAGTACAGATTTAGGATAAAGGGTGATACGTTATAAATGATATAAAAGCAAGGCCTTTGTGATGCATACTGTTAGGATATACCATATGAGGGGCTCTCCTTCAGCATGGTCTCCCTTCGATTTCTACTTTCGTGTAGACTTTCTCTTTGTCAGTTGTGCTGGTTTGGCCGATTCTCGTGCTGTAGGTCTCCCGCTTTTGAATCTCTTGCCGTTTTCTCGCGCCATCATCTCTGGTTGGCTGTTTTGAACGTGCTGGTTCTGGTTGGTCGCAGTAGTCACGTGGCTTGCGACTACACGGAAATTGAGCTCTACAAACTCATACTAGGTGGCCTTTCTTCTCACAACGCCTGCAAATGGCGTCTCTGTATTTGCAGGATTGTCTCTCGTGATCCCTGCCACAGCTAGGACAGTTCTCGTGGTGGTGGCTTTGCTCGCTTTTTTTCTTTTCTGTGTGGAAGACGTCTTCGTCTGACTCTTCCTCCGTGCTGGTTCGCGCCTCCTCTCTGTGAACGGGGGCTGTTTTTGGGCCGTCTTTGCTTGGCAGTGGCTGTTGTAGTGCTTCAGAAGCCTACGTGGACACTTTGTGTGCTCTGGCTTCGTCGAGCGCACCGGCTAACGTTAAATCTGGCTTTGCCAGAAGGCACCTCTGTAGACGAGTGTCTCTAATGCCACAAATCAATTGCTCGAGTAGTGCATCATCTAGATCTCGATAGTCACAATGCGTTGCGGCTTTTTGAAGGGCGGCCACATATGCGCTGACTGGTTCTCCTTCTCTTTGTACACGTTGCCGGAGCTCGTAGCGCTGTACAAATTTTTAAGGAACTGGAGTGTGATGGGCTCTCAGGTTCACTTGAAGAACATCCCAGGGGACCGTCTGGACTGGGGTTGGCTCGTAGAGGGACTCGGCCATCTTGAATATGTCAGGCCCGCAGTGGTTTAAGAATAGAGCTCTTTTCCTTGAAAGAGAGAGTTGGATCCCTTTGAAACTTGGTGGCTTTTCTATTTCTTCTGGTATTTTATGATTTCAGTTCTGTATATGAAAAACTATGGGAGAAACTGAATATTATGACAGTATCTCTAACTTTAATAAACTGGAAAACAGCCTATACTTTCCTACAAGAACAGGTCACAAAGAAAAGCAAGTGGAAGATGAATGGTTTTTTTTAAAAAAACAGGAAAAAGATGTGTTGCTCTATGTAACATTCCAGAAATAGAATATAGTAAATAATGAAGCAAATAAAACATAATTAGATTCATAAATAATTAGAGACTAAATGTTAATATTAAAAGATATAATGGGCATTTATATCTCTGAGGACCTCTCATGGACTATGAATGCTAACATGCTTGTGAAGAAGACACAAAAGAGGCTGTACTTCCTAAGAATGCTCAGGAAGATAAATCTATTTTAGTATCTACTTCTGTCCAACTATCGCAGCACCATTGAGAGTGTCCTGACATACGGCATTCTTGCATGGTATGGGAGCAGCTCTGTAGCAGATAAAAATGCTCTACAGAGAATAATTAAAACTGCCCAGAATATCATTGGCTCCATCTGGACGACATCTTCAAATCTCACTGTTTGAGAAAGTTGCATAACATTCTCAGAGACTCTTCCCATCCTGCTTACAATCTTTTTGGACTGTTGCCTTCTGGCAGAAGATACAGAACAATTAAAACTCAGACCACACGTTTTCTGAATAGTTTTTATCCCAGAGTTATAACTGCACTCAAGAATGAACTAAAGGGCCACCATCAGTGAGCTGTTGGACAGTATTACTTGGTCTGTTGTGTGGATGTTTGGGTGGTTTAGGGGTGGGGAATTGTGGTGGGTGGGAGTGTGTTTGGGGATTATTATGTGTGTTGGACCTGGTCTTTGGGTGTTAAGTGAATTTCGTTGTATGGGTATACTGTGTATACATGTACAATGACAATAAAGAATAAAGAATAAACGAATATAATCAATGAAAAAATCCCTGAAAATAAAAGGGCCTCACTCACCCTGTTTATCACCTTGTTTTGTCTATCCAGTAAAATTATTTTAGATGAATGAAGCCAGAATGGCTTACACCATCAGTATTGCTATTAATTACTTTTCTTTCCTTCTATTAGGGATTAACAACCATGGCTGGAGGAAGGAAGGGACAGTTTAAACCTAGCATCTAGATGTTGTTGGACTGTGGTTAGAGTGCAGTACTGCAGGCTACTTCTGCTGATTGCCAGCTGCCTGCAATTTAGCAGCTCAAATCTCACCAGGCTCAAGGTTGATTCAACCTTCCATCCTTCTGAGGTGGGTAAAATGAGAACCCAAATTGTAGGGGGCAATATGCTGACTCTGTAAAACTGCCTAGAGAGATGTAAAGCACTGTAAAGCAGTATATAAGTCTAAGTGCTATTGCTATTGCTATCATTCTAGTTAACAATTTGCAAGTTCTTGGTAAGCATGTGTTTTGTTTTTTTATCAAATATTCTATGATCTTTCGTTCTTTCGTTTCTGTTCTTTCATCTGTTCTTATGTGCTTGCTTCTGATCTTAGCACATCAATTTTATTTTTCAACCTTATCTCCCAACAATTTGGTGGTGAAATGTTTGGCTTTTTTTCCTTTTTGTTAATTTTGCATCCAAGGTAATCAGTTGTAACTGCAACTGTGTTATACATTGGTTAGTTTTGTGTGGTGAGCTGGTGCTTATGTTTGATATTACAGTATTGGCATTTTTTAATACTTGGACTAGCTGTTATTTTGGACCATCGTTCAATCCAGGCAACTTTATTCCATTGTTTTTGTGTTTTTTCTAGATGCTCAGTTATTCTATGTTTCAGTTCCTTTTGTTTTTCAGTTAAAGGATTTGGTTCTTTCTGAGATGGTAAAGTAGTGAATTCCTGGCTTAGAAATGAAAAAGGTTCAATAACAATGTTGATTCTACTGCTAACTCTCCCTCGTTTGTCTCTACTATCTAAGATACTTCTGGTGAGGCTTTGATTTATTTGCCTGATTAGACCTTTGCAGTTCAATTTCTGTGAATACTTTGAGCTTTCTGATGCAAGTAAACTCTATTGCTATTCAGATTGTGGTTGGTTTACTTGTATGGATCTTGTTTAGCATTGCTTTTAACTGTTCTTTTATATCTTGACATATTTCTGTGGTTTACACTGGTTTCCCACACAAGCCCTGCTAATTTTGCTTCACCATATTACTATTACTTATTAAAATGCATATTAATTTGGTTTTGGGTACAACTGAGCTTTTGCTCAGATATGACCTATTGAAATTCACTCCATATTTCATTAAACATCATGTTGTACAAGTCATATTTATTTGTTCTATTTCTATATATTTGGCATGTTGAAGTTTGGTTAGCACTGTTAGATTATTTTTATCAGTATATTTTCTCAACTGTAATTTATAGCTAATAGTTCTTATATTATTCAAATTTTCATTAATTTCATATCTGCAAAAATTCAAACAACCAAAGGAAAACCTAATTCAGATTATGGTATGGATAATTAGACCAATAGTAAGCCTTTTTAAAAAGATTTTTAAAAAATCTTTTATTGATTTTATAAATAATTTAATGGATATAATTAATACTTTCTCCTCCTCCTATTTTCCCTAAACAATCTTGTGAGGTGAATTGAACTGGCAGACAATGATTGGCTTGGGTTTCATGCCTTAGAGAGGACTAGAATTCAAAATCTCCTAGTTTATAGCCTAGTGCCTTAGCTACTAGATCAAACCAGTTGCAGCCCTTTCTTGATCGGGATTCCCTTTGCACAGTCACTCACGCCCTCATCACCTCTCACCTGGACTACTGCAATGCTCTCTATATGGGGCTCCCCTTGAAGGGCACCAGGAGGCTCCAACTGGTCCAGAATGCGGCCGTGCAGGTAGTTACGGGAGCTGCATGGCGCTCCCATACAACACCTTTCCTGCGTGAGCTGCACTG